ACTCTCTCGACTTCAGCACTGCGTTCTTGCAGGGTAGCCTGCACGAGGAGATCTGGCTTCGCCGTCCACCTGGCTTCACTGGGACTTTCTCTCCTGGCACCCAGTGGAGCCTCCGACGGCCAGTCTACGGTCTCCGCCAGGCACCGCGTGAGTGGCACGACACATTGAGGACTACGCTTGCGGCCCTTGGGTTTGCTCCTTCTACTGCTGACCCGTCGCTGTTTCTTCGCACCGACACTTCCCTGCCGCCGTTCTACATCCTCGTGTACGTCGACGACTTGGTCTTTGCCACAGCGGACACTGCTGGACTCGCCTACGTGAAGTCCGAGCTGCTGAAGAGACACACGTGCACAGACCTGGGTGAACTGCGCAGCTACCTTGGCTTGCAGATCACTCGGGACAGAGCACGCCGCACCATTACCTTGACTCAGTCACACATGGTGCAGCAGGTCCTTCAGCGCTTCGGCTTCACGTACTCCTCGCCTCAGGCCACTCCTCTGCCTACTCGCCACTCACTCTCAGCTCTGCCTTCGGATGAGTCCGTAGAGTCGAGTGGTCCGTATGCAGAGCTTGTTGGCTGCCTCATGTACCTGATGACCTGCACACAACCTGACCTTGCATACCCTCTGAGCATTCTTGCACGCTATGTTGCTCCTGGGAGACACAGACCAGAGCAAATGGCTGCAGCGAAGAGGGTATTGCGCTACCTGTGCAGTACGTCAGGCATGGGGCTAGTGCTTGGAGGGCGGAGTCCAGTGGTCCTTACCGGCCACGCGGACGCTTCTTGGGCTGACGACCAGGCTACGCAGCGGTCGTCACAGGGTTACACCTTCAGCCTTGGTTCCGGCTCTGTCTCGTGGCGGTCTACCCGCTCGTCTTCGGTTCTCGGCTCCAGTTGTGAGGCTGAGATCTACGCCGGGGCCATGGCTGCACAGGAGCTTCGCTGGCTCACCTACCTGCTGACTGACCTTGGAGAGCCGCCTCGTTCTCCTCCAGTGCTGTACGTAGACAACAAGGCCATGCTGGCCTTGTGTCGAGAGCAGCGCTTGGAGCACAGAACGAAACACATTGCTCTCCGCTACTTCCTTGCTCGTGAGCTGCAGCAGCGTGGTCAGTTGCGACTTGCGTACGTGGCCTCTGAGGCCAACACTGCTGATGTGTTCACCAAGGCACTCGCGCCTTGTGACCATCAGCGCTTTTGCACCCAGCTGGGTCTTGTGCCTGTCTTGCCTCACTTGCTCTCCTCTTGACTTCACTTGTACTGTGACATATATATATACCTACTCTTGCTTGTCTAGTTTTATATATATGTCTGTACTCCTGCATGTGAACTGGCCTCTGGCCCTGCTCTTGTGCTCGGACTGTGTGGTGACTTTGTGATCCACCCTGAGCTTGCTTTGCTTTGCTTTGCTTGACTGGTCTTGTGACCCCTTGTTCTCCCCCACTTTGCCTATGGGGGTGTGTCCGATTATTATAGCTGATGCATGTTTGTAGGCTATAGTGGGGTAGCACATATGGGGTACAGCTTTCTAGGGTTGTATTTGTACCCAACTCTGACTTAGTCATTTCATTCCTGTTCATTCTTTTCACACGAATGTGAAGGGAACCGAATCTGCAAAACATCTGCCTGCTAAAGTAGAAATCGTTAAAGCGTTTTGAACACATTTCAAAAAAATAAGTTTACGTGCGCTTATAATAAAACAAGTTTTTTCAGGGGGTGCGCTTATAATCGAGCAGGGGATATAAGCGCCATATGCCAATTAGAAGCGCCAGACGCTTATCCTAGGGTGGCGCTTATATCCGGGGGGTGACGGTATATGTATACATTGCAAGAGTTCACAATTCACTGAATCTGCCTACATGTTTATCAAAATGCTAAACAATCCATAACTTGGAACGCACAATTTATATCATCATCTGTATGAAGAAATATAAAATTTGCGTTCCAAGCTATGGATTATTTAGCATTTTGATAAACATGTAGGCAGATTCAGTGAATTGTGAACTCTAGCGATGTATGCATATATGCGTTCGAATTCTTTCATAAAAATTTTAAAACAAAAGTGTGTTACGTCGATTCGAAAGTAACTAGGTATCTTTGCACCCAAAATGGTCGCGTATACAGGACAAAAGCCAGCAATCCGAAATATAGTCCCTAAATCTGTACAGTGTTTCAGGGCGGGTCAACGAAATGATGAGAGGGTTCATCTGTGATAGCAAAGTTTCGAGTGTGACTACCCGTGATAGAAATTAGTGCCTTTGAGTGACGGCGGGTGATACCCGTGTGACGGTTCGTGATAGATTTGGCAGATTTTGTGACTGTCCGTGATAGATTTGGCAGAACATATGACTGCTCGTGATAACTCCGAAATGTTTTGTGACGGCCCGTATAAAAACCCTAGAATTTACACATTCGAACCTTGGTCGACCTGTGGTCGACCATCTTGACTTTTCGTGGTCGAGGAGCAGTGTCAGCAATTCCGAGTCGCGCATGGAACAACGAAGTTCGAATATCAGAGTTCAACTTTAAACAGCAGATTACAAGTCGCGCTTGACTTCTGTAGGTTACCCGGCTGTGCGGTGCAGTTCGTGACCGGAACCGAAATTGGTAGCCCGATACATTTTCCCTCGTCATTGTCGTGAACCTCGCAAAAAATTGGGCGTGCGTCAAAGAACACACAATTGGGAAAAGGTTAACGTTAAAATCCACAATTGACTTCAGTTTAGTGTCCAACTTCCTTCACACAGTTTGAACCAGGACACACGATTCCCTCGCGAAAGTTTTAGCGAGGATATTGAAACGGGTTACCAGCAAAAGGTTTGACCCTATTTTCGAACGTCTACACCAAAAGGTTAGACACGCGCCCCTAGCCTTGGAAACTCCACGCCAGGGGAACTCTTCGCCCAGGGAACTTCTCGCCTTGAGAACTCCGACCCTGCTCTTTTTAGCACACCCAGGCCCCCGCCATTGTCACAACGCAAAGGTCAGCTCCCACCTACACCTACACCCAGCTCCGTCGCCGTTTCTTACCACACTCGCCGCGAATCCCGCCACCGTTCACGTTCGATCCACCTTTCTCCACTCCAGATCTCGCCGCTCGCCGACATGGGTGCTGCTCACAAGATCGCGGCTCACGGTGCGGCTGTCGCCAAGAAGGGCGGCCCGAGCGTCATTTTCGAGATCGCCGCTGGCCTTAGCCTCGGTGCCGTAGGTCCGTCGTCGCTTATTACCTTGTACAACAGAGTCACTTATCACTTCGTACATGAGCGTCGCTTTGTACTCAGTATAGCAGCGTCGCTTATTCCTCCTCAATGGCGCCGTCCCTGCACCAACCCCTTCCCTGGCATTTCCACGACATTCTTACCTTGCGTCCTGACCTTACTCTCGAATCGCTCAACGGTCTTGTTTTCTATTCATGAAGTTTGTCGGACTTCTTCGTGTAAAATGTTTCTGAAGCATGGAGACGCGAACCTTGAAAGATTCGCGAGGACTTTTCACGGAGTGCTCGTTTTGTACTTGTAAACTGGCACTCGCTGCGAGCCACGTTAACGCGAAGCTTATTACGAGGCTAACGCAATCCTGCTGACATAACATTGCTGCGTGGCCGGGTCTCTGTGGAAGATAGGTCACATCAACCCAAAGCTATTTATGAGGCGCCTAAGTGCCATACTTACGTAATACCCGTGCGATTTCATTGCTGCGTGGCAGGCGGGTCGCTGTGGAAGATGGGTCACATCAACGAGAAGCGCAAGACGGAGGAGTTGTACAACGCGCTGGACAAGGGCGAGCTCACCGTCACCGCCAGCCAGTAACGCGTTTGAGATGGGTTAGTAACGGTGACGTATAACGAGACCGGTTTGCAACGAGTAGGTAACACGAGACTGGTAACAATTGAGAAATTGCTGTGTTTCCAGCTCAGATTCGTTGTTTACTCGCCAGCTTCTATCAGGCACACCGTTCATCACCCTGCACTATTGTGTATCACCCTGCATTACCGTGATTCAACTTTCATCACTCCGCACTACCATAAATCACCCTGCATTCACACCTGTACCATCCTGCATCACCGTGCATCACTCTGCACTGCACGCGGCATCACTTCGCATCACTCTGCCTCACCCTGGGTCACATCGTACGTACCTGCTACCCGCCTTCTTTTCACTGCAGGTTATGATGAGGCACATGTGGAACCGACTTACCCATGTTGAGCTGGCAGACGCACATTGAGCTTGCAGGCCCATGGCTTCTGAAGACATAACAGCTGATATGTATATGTATCGGAGTATAAAAGATTGGATTTGATTCATGACACATGGTATGGTACCCCAGAACCAGCTACATTTTCTTCACCCACATAATCTCCTCTCCTGTGGCTGCAACATACGCTCTATTCCCAATGATGCTGCTTTTAGAGGGACCTTTGCCCCATGAATCTCCTGAAATGATGGGACTGTAGGTTCTTTCCTGTTCTGTCATACAGATGATTGATGCAGATGCTGGTTGTGTTGTGCACGTTCAGGATTACAAGTAGCTAAGGCTCCACTGTAGAAAGGCTATGCTGATTCGATAAGCACCAAGATAATGTGTACCAAAGAGTTATGGCTAAAATACCGAGCACAGCACTGCACCAAAATGATAGCCGACCACAACTTGTTCAGTGGTCGGTGGTGTATCTACAGTACCGTATACTCCACTCACACTACATCCTACAGGTATCAGATGGTGCAGTTGCACCCCTAAACTTTCCCAACTACCACGTTACCCTCCTTACCTGCATTGTTTGTGGAGGGCGTGTGTTTTGCTCCTCCAAGGAGTTCACTTGCTCATTCCCTGCAGTCCCTCCATCCTCCTTTTCCTCCCCTCACCCATCCTGAAGAGCGGGTTTGCTCACTCACTCACTACACTCCTTAAAGCCCAACCACCTTTCAAGTTCTCCTGCACTTACCTCCGCCTTTCAAGTTCTCCTGCACTTACCTCCGCCTTTGAAGTTCTCCTGCGCTTACCTCCGCTTTCTCCTCCGGTACTGTTTCCCTCCATCGCGCCACATATACTCCGGCCCCACCAATCCCCCTTCTCCCAATTCCTGCCCCACAATCTTTTTGTTACCACCGTGACTCTCCCTGTTCCCTTCATCTCCCTCCTCCTCCTCCTCCCAATCACGTGTCTCCTTGCTACCACCACGCCCTCTCCTCACCTTCTTCTCTCTTCCCTCCTCCTCCCTCCCCACTCCTCCATCCAACCCCCTTGCCAACCCTCCCGCCCTTCTCCCCCTGAGCTCCTCTTGTGTTTCTTCCCTTCCACCTCCCTCCTCACTCTCTTGCCCACTATCCTCCTCATCCTCCTCCTCACTCTCCTCCTCCTCACTTTCGTCATCCTTTCGCCTCCTCTTAGCACCCCTCCCTCTCCCCTTAGCCTTCCCAACCTTTCTCTTCCCCAATCCACTCTTCTCCCCCGTTCCCTCTCTCCCCTTTCTCACACCTCTCACCCCTTTACGCCCTTGTGACTTAGCTTGGGCGGGTGATCGAGCAAGGCCTTGATTCCCCTTCACTCCATGTGACCACGTCAGGCCCTGTGGTGATGCTTTCAACCCCCGTTGTGGTGGTGTCTTCAATGCATCTCCTCCTGCCTTGCATCCTACTTCTGACTTCACTCCTGCAGTCGCCTTTACTCCTCTTGCTCCTCCTGCTTCTGCTGCTCCTCCTCCTCCTGCTGCTGCTGCTGCTGCTGCTGCTGGCGGCGCTGCTTTCCGTGATCGGAGCACGCGATTGGCTCCCAGGCACGCAGCAACCAGCTCTGCTGGCATGTCAGCAGCGACTGGGTCTGCTGACGAGGATGGCATGCCAAGCTCTGCTGACATGGACGATTTGTCGGGCTCCGCTGACATGGCAGGTGTGATCGAATCAGGTGCTGCTGATGTGGCAGGACCCCCTTCTGCCACGCCATCGGTCCTTCCCTCAGCTGCTGCCTCTGCTGGAATCTCCTGACAGCCTGGCTGCTCTTCATGGCGAATCTGACCCTCAGGTAAATCACCAGGTTGCAACAGAGACTCAGGTGAAACACCAGGGTCTTGTGCAACCCTGGTAGCAGCAAGAACCACAGGGGATGCAGTCTGCTGCTGCTGCAGGGCATCATAAGCACCAGGTGAGTCATCCTTCCGACCCTTGTCCTTCCGATCCTCCAGGGCCGCGACGGAAAGCCCAGGCAGCCTGGAAGGTTCGGCAGGTGAGTGAACTCCAAGGGGGGGCATAAGACACAGTGCGCCGCCCGGTTGGCCGGTGGTTAGAGTGTTGCGATTCTCCTTCTTTGTTGCTGAGACGCCCGATCTGATTATGAGTCCGTGGGCCACCGTGCGCCGCCCGGCAAATGGCCGGCAACGTGCGGCAGGTAGTGGAGGTGTGTTATCGGTGTCAGCAGCTTCATCCTTTACAACCACAGGGGAGGGTGCAAACTTTAGAGGCACTGCAGGTGGCACATCCTTGACAGCCACAGGAGGGCGCTCATCCGTCACAGCAGGTGACTCATCCTTCTCATCCTTCTCATCCTTTTCATCCTTTTCATCCTTCTCATCCTTCTCATCCTTTTCATCCTTCTCATCCTTTTCATCCTTCTCATCCTTCTCATCCTTTTCATCCTTTTCATCCTTCACAGCAGTGGGATCACAGTCCGCAGACACAGCGGGAGGCTCGCCCTTTTCAATGGTCTCAGCCTTCACATCCTCTGCAGTCACAGCAGGTGGCACATCCTTTTCAGTCACAGCAGGCAGCCCGTCCGTCCCATCCTGTACATTCACAGAGGCGGGCTCAAGGCTTGCAGGCACTGCAGGCGGCTCATCCGTCTCATCCCTTACAGTCACAGCAGCAGGCTCGTCCTTCTCATCCATTACAGTCACAGTGGACGGTTCAAGGGCTGCAGTCACTGCAAGCGGCTCATCCTTCTCATCCTTCTCATCCTTCATATCGTTGTCATCCTTCTCATTGGCCTCATCCATCACACTCTCTACAGTCACGGCAGCTGGCTCATCCTTTTCAGTCACAGCAGGCAGCTCATCGCTTACAGTCACAGCGCCCGGTTCAAGGCCTGCAGTCATCGCGGGAGGTTCATCCCTCTCATCCTTTCCATCCTTCTCATTGTCCTCATCCATCACACTCTGTACAGTCACAGCAGGCAGCTCATCCTTTTCACCCTCTACAGTCACATTGATGGGGTCACGGTCAGCAGTCAGAGTGGCAGGCTCGGAGATCTCTCTCTTTACAGTCACAGCAGAGGGTTCAAGGACTGCAGCCACACCAGCAGGCTCGTCCTTCTCATCCCTTATAGTCACAGAGGCAGGTTCAATGCCTGCAGTCACAGCAGGTGGCTCGACCTTCGCTGCTGTCACCCGTTCTTCAGTCACAGTGTGACTGTCCTCCTTTGGAGCAGCAGCGGTTGCGGTTGATGGAGTGGGCAGCAGAGCAGGAGAGTGAGGGGCAGAAGGGACAGGTTCGGACTTCACTGCTGTCACCCCGTCTTCAGTCACAGTGTGTCTTTCCGTTAGAGCAGCGATTGATGGAGTGGGCACAGGAGGAGAGGGAGAAGGAGGAGGAGGCGAGCTAGGGGCGATAGGAGTGGGTGATGGAGGGGGGTGGGGGGATGGAGGAGGGTGGGGGGATGGAGGAGGGTGGGGGGATGGAGGAGGGTGGAGGGCCGAAGGGGAGTGGAGGGATGGAGAGGAGTGCGGTAAAGGAGAGGCAGGAATAGCAACATCTGTAGAAGCAGCAGGAGCAGCAGCAGCAGGAGGAGGAGGAGGACTGGCAGGAATAGCAGTAGCATCTGTAGAAGCAGCAGGAGGAGGAGCAGGAGGAGGAGGAGTGGGGTGAGCAAGAGGACGAGGCAGTGGCAGAGAAACGAGTGAGGGGAGCACCAGGAGGCGAGGGCGGGGAGAAGGGGCAGACAGGGGCAGAGGGCGGGAAGAAGGGGCAGACAGGGGCAGAGGGCGGGAAGAAGGGGCAGACAGGGGCAGAGGGCGGGAAGAAGGAGGGACCAACAGGGGCAGAGGAAGGGGAGAGCGGTGTTCCAAGGCCAAGGCAGCAGGCGGACTGGAATCAAGAGGGCCCATGCGGGCGTTGACAAATATGGATCGAACACCGTCTCCTGTCACTGCTTCCATCTCTCCAACATTCACTCTCTTGCCATCTCTTGCCTCTCCCTCTTCCCCTCTCCCTGTTGCCTCCCCGCCTTCCATTCTCCCTGCTGCATGTGCCAGCACTCCCTCACTCATCCCTCTTCCTGATTCAGTCTCATTATAAGCCTCTCCCTTACTGTCAGCAGCAGCTTTTCCACGATTGCCTGAAGTGGGTTCTCCAGAATTATTATTTCGTTTCCTCTTGCGACCCCCTGAACCTCTGCCGGACCTCCTCACGGTACCCAATTCTTCGCAGGTTTGTTGTGGTTCTTTTCCGAACCTGGACTTCCGAGGACGCTTGCTTCGGGGAGCCTTGGGATGGCTACCGAGCCTGTGAAGCACCAGCACCGGCGACATTTCCTCCCCGAACCTGAGCCCCTCTTCCAGCCTGGTTCGGCCAAACCCGAACCTGCCAAGACTTGCCTTTCGCACAGGCCTGCTGCTGGTAACACCGAGGCTGCTGCTGACGGTCCTATCCTCACCGAGCCTATTCTCACCGAGCCTATTTCTACCAAGCCTACCGTCATGACGCGCATGGTCACCAGGACTAGTTTCCGAACCATAAGCAACAGCGCCAGGTTTGATTGGTGGGCCGGCACAATCAGAACTAATAGCAACACTCTGATCAAGCCGCCTTCTCTTCCTTCCCACTGCTTCCCCCACTGCTTCCTCCGCTGCTTCCTCCGCTGCTTCCTCCGCTGCTTCCTCCGCTGCTTCCTCCGCTGCTTCCTCCGCTGCTTCCTCCGCTGCTTCCTCCACTGCTTCCTCCACGGCTTCCTCCACTGCTTCCTCCGCTGCTTCCTCCACTGCTTCCTCCACTGCTTCCTCCACTGCTTCCTCCACTGCTTCCTCCGCTGCTTCCTCTGCTGCTTCCTCCACGGCTTCCTCCGCTGCTTCCTCCGCTGCTTCCTCCGCTGCTTCCTCCGCTGCTTCCTCCACTGCTTCCTCCACTGCTTCCTCCATTGCTTCCTCCACTGCTTCCTCCACTGCTTCCTCCGTTGCTTCCTCTGCTGCTTCCTCCGCTGCTTCCTCCACTGCTTCCTCCACTGCTTCCTCCACTGCTTCCTCCACTGCTTCCTCCACTGCTTCCTCCACTGCTTCCTCCACTGCTTCCTCCACTGCTTCCTCCGTTGCTTCCTCCGCTGCTTCCTCCACTGCTTCATCCACTGCTTCCTCCACTGCTTCCTCCACTGCTTCCTCCGCTGCTTCCTCTGCTGCTTCCTCCACGGCTTCCTCCACTGCTTCCTCCGCTGCTTTCTCCGCTGCTTCCTCTGCTGCTTCCTCCGCTGCTTCCTCCACGGCTTCCTCCACTGCTTCCTCCGCTGCTCTCTCCGCCGCTGCTTCCTCCGCTGCTCTCTCCGCTGCTTCCACCTCTGCTTCCCCCTCTGCTTCCCCCTCTGCTTCCCCCTCTGCTTCCCCCTCTGCTTCCCCCTCTGCTTCCCCCTCTGCTTCCCCTCTGCTTCCCCACAACATGCATTTCTTCTCCTTTTCCCCCCTCACCTTCTTCTTCCTTCTCCACTCTCCCTCCCCAATCGACCTCTCTCCCTTTCCCGTATATTCTTCTCCCACCACCAGCACAGTCTTTACCCCCCTGTTCCTCTCCTCCATTCTCCTCCTCACTTGTTATATCCACCATGCTCATTTCATTCACCTCCTTGCCCCCCCGACCCCCTTCATTAAAATCCTTTCCCTCCTCACCCGCTATATCCACCATGTTAATTTCTTTCGCCTCCTCATCCCCTTCATTCTTAATCTTGCCATCCTCACCCCCTTCATTCACATCCCCACTTTCCAGATTCACCTCCCTTTTCTCCTCACCCGTGTCATTCACCTCCTTGGCCCCCCCACCCCCTTCATTCAACTCCATTCCCTCCTCACCTTCTGGGTTCGTCGCCTTGCCCTCCTCACCCCCTTCACCCAACTCCTTGCCCTCCTCACCCCCTTCACCCACCCCCTTGCCCTCCTCACCCCCTTCACCCACCCCCTTGCCCTCCTCACCCTCTTCATTCAACTCCTTGCTCTCTCTAGCCCCGTCCCTGTCACCACCAGCAGCTCTCCCCTCTTCGTCTCTTCCTTCCTCATCTTGCTCCTCTTCCCTAGCCTCTACTCTCTCATCCTTCTCCTCTTCCCTTGCCTCTCCCCTTTCATCTCTCTCCTCTTCCCTAGCCTCTACTCTCTCATCCTTCTCTTCCTCGCCCTCACGAACATCCACCCTCCTCTCCTCACCTCCCTTGCTCTTGTCTGCCTCCTTCCCCAGCTCTGCTGGCTTCTTACTCTCCTCAGCTTCCTTCCCCAGCTCTGCTGGCTTCTTTCTCTCCTCGGCTTCCTTCTCCTGCTCTTCTAGCGTATGTTTTTTGAGAATTCTCAAAAAACATACTTTCTTACTCTCCTCGGCTTCCTTCTCCTGCTCTTCTTCCTTCCTGTTACCCTCTTCTGACTCCCCCTCCCCATCTTGCTTCTCCACCTCTTCTCTCTCTCTCCCCTCCATCTCACGCCCATGTGAAGCCCGGTTATCTATCCCGCTCCCTCCCCTCTCCACCTCTTCCCCCTTCCGCTCCACCTCTTCCCCCTTCCGCTCCACCTCTTCCCCCTTCCGCTCCACCTCTTCCCCCTTCCGCTCCACCTCTTCCCCCTTCCGCTCCACCTCTTCCCCCTTCCGCTCCACCTCTTCCCCTTCCGCTCCACCTCTTCCCCCTTCCGCTCCACCTCTTCCCCCTTCCGCTCCACCTCTTCCCCCTTCCGCTCCACCTCTTCCCCCTTCCGCTCCACCTCTTCCCCCTTCCGCTCCACCTCTTCCCCCCTCCTCTCCACCTCTTCCGCCTCCTCTCCCTCACCCAAACTCCTCACCTCGTGCCCTATCCCATACCCTATCTCATACCCAATCTCACGCCCAATACCATACCCAATCTCGTAGCCAATCATATGCCCACCCCCATCCCCATCCCCATCCCCACGCCCACCCTCAAGCCTGCCTTCACAGCCTTGCTCCTTCACAGGATTGATTTCAGCCTCCCTTTTCCAACCAGGAGATATTTCACCCCCCTCCATGAAACCCTCATCTTCCATCTTACTCCTGTCCTCACTACTTCCTTCCTCTTCACTCTTCATATCATCACCCTCCTCCTGTTCCACCTCCTCCCCTCCCTTCTTTGTAAATCTCCCCTCTCCTTCTGTCACTGTCAGTCGATCAACCAGTTCAGAATCTCTCCTCGCAACTCTCACCGCTACTCTGCCTGCCTCTACCCCTCCTGCCTCTACCCCTCCTGCCTCTACCCCTCCTGCCTCTACCCCTCCTGCCTCTACCCCTCCTGCCTCTACCCCTCCTGCCTCTACCCCTCCTGCCTCTACCCCTCCTGCCTCTACCCCTCCTGCCTCTACCCCTCCTGCCTCTACCCCTCCTGCCTCTACCCCTCCTGCCTCTACCCCTCCTGCCTCTACCCTCCTGCCTCTACCCCTCCTGCCTCTACCCCTCCTGCCTCTACCCTCCTGCCTCTACCCCTCCTGCCTCTACCCCTCCTGCCTCTACCCCTCCTGCCTCTACCCCTCCTGCCTCTACCCCTCCTGCCTCTACCCCTCCTGCCTCTACCCCTCCTGCCTCTACCCCTCCTGCCTCTACCCCTCCTGCCTCTACCCCTCCTGCCTCTACCCCTCCTGCCTCTACCCCTCCTGCCTCTACCCCTCCTGCCTCTACCCCTCCTGCCTCTACCCTCCTGCCTCTACCCCTCCTGCCTCTACCCCTCCTGTCTCTGCTCCTTCTGCCTCGTCTCCTCCCACCCGCTCTCCCCCCACCTCTTCTCCTCCCATCCCTTCTCCTCCCACCCTCGTCCCAACCATCCTCTCCCCCGCTCTGCTGCTCCCATCCCCTCTCCCCTCCTTCCACCTCTCAACCCACTGCCGCCACACCCCCTCCTCCGCACCGCACCTAACCCCTCTACCTTCCTCCATCGCCTCCGCACCACCGCTCCCTCCATTCCACTTCAACAGATCAGCAAATCCCGCCAGCCGCCGTTGCTGTCCCTGTGGCGCTCTCGGAAACCCAAACTTCACCAGCCGATCCAACTCAGCTTCGCCAGAGCCGAAGCTGAGCAGCTGGTCCGGTTCCGAGCCTGATTCGAGCTTCGGAAACGTCTCAGATTTGGATTCCTGAACAGTGACTCCCATGCCAGTCCAAGGCAGTGCCCCAGCCCCTCTCGTTTCTGCTGCTGCTTTCTCTTCCTGCTGCCTCTCCTCCTTCACACCAGTGGCAGCGGCAGCAGCAGCAGCAGCAGCAGGAGAAACAGCAGCAGCGGCAGCGGCGGCGGCGGCGGCGGCGGCAGCAGCAGCAGCAGCACGTGCTTGCTTCACAAACTCTCCCATGGAAACCACTGCTGCCGCCGCCGCCGCTGCTGCCACTGCTGCTCCTGCTGCTGCTTCAATCTCCTCTGCTGTAATGCCTCTCGCCACCCCTGCGCCTCCCTCCACACCTCCCTCCAAACATCTCTCTACACCCACTCCATGCCCCTCCTCTCCCTCGCTCCCAGCCCCTCCCAGCCCCTCCTCATCTTCATCCCCATCCCACCAATATCCACCTCTCTGTCCTCGTCCTCTACCCCCCCTCCCCACTCGAATCACCTCTTCCGATGCTGCAAGCCTTATCAGCACCCACCTTCCCCTCCCATCCCTGTCCCTCTCCCTCCGCTCTCCTCCCTCCCCTCCCTCCTCTCCCTCCTCTCCCTCTCCCATACCTCCTACCACACGCACTTTCATTCCCCTCTCCTCCTCTCTCCTCCTCTCCTCTCCATCCTCCTCTCTCCTTTCCTCCCCCTCGTCCTCTCTCCTCTCCTCCTCCTCAGCCTGCTTCCTCTTCCCATCACCCTCAGGCCCCTTCACCGCCCTCCTAACCCTCTTCCTCCCACTCCACCCAGCACTGCGTTTCACTCGCTTCCGCTTCGTCCCCCCTCGTGCTCTTCCCCTCACCAACTCTTCTTCCTCCCCCTCCTTTACCGCTTCTGTCCCATCCCTTTCCGCGCCAGCTATCTCAGCCCCTTCCGCTCCATCTCGCTCTTTCCCCTCCACCGCAACTCCTGCCAACCCATCAGCATCCCTCCCTACACCTGGCTGTGTCACACTCTCCCCGCCTGCACTCTTTTCATGTGGATGTTGACCTTTGACGCTCCTGAAAGGTTGTGTAACACCCTCCCCGCCAGCACTCCTTTCATGTGGATGTTGACTCGTGTCGTCCACCGGTTGCCAAACGACTGCAACCAGCACTGGCGCCGATTCTTGCACATCCGGCGGCGCAAAAGCACGACCATCATAGTCACCATCACCACCAGCAGCACAAACATAAGCACCTCCACCACTAGCAGCAGCACCATCACAGGCACCACCACCAGAATCTACAGACATGACAGGCCAGCGCAGCAGGGAGTGAGTCCCGTGGCATGTAGAAAGCTCAGAGGCACGCCATGGCCAGAGGGACGAGAGCCTAGTGTGACCCACGGGCTCAGAAGCACGCCAGGGCCAAGCAGGCCACGGCTCCTTGCCAAACACCACCAGCGCTTCACCGCTCTCTCTGCTGCCGCCTTGGGTGTCGCCTTCAGTGCCACCTCTGGTGCCATTTCGGGTGTCAAATTGGGTGTCGCCTTGATTGTCACCTTGGGTGTCAACTTGCTCCATATTCCCTGCCATGCGAGCAGCATACTGCTCTCTGCACGCAGCATCCAGCCCAACTGTACCGCCAGTGGCCCCAGCCACTGCCTCGGCCCCAGCCTCAGCCTTGGCCTAGCCTCAGTCTCAGCCGCAGCGTCAGTCCCAGCCTCAGTCCCAGCCTCAGTCCCAGCCTCAGTCCCAGCCTCGGCACCCGGCTGTACCTTCACCAGATGTACCTTCACCAGCTGTACCTTCACCAGCTGCACCCACATCTGCTTCTTGTATGGACTCTGGACGAGCCATCCAGTTGGCACCAGCATCATCAGCATCAGATGCGGCAGTAACACCTGCACCAGCTGTACCCACATCAGCGGAATGTGCATCAGCAGGGCTAACTGCGTCCTCCTCCACTTGCTTTTGAGTTGACTCAACAGTCACCTTTTGAGTAGACTCAATAGTGCACACATCAGCAAAAAGTGCATCAACGGGGCTGACTGTGTCCTCCTCCACTTGCTTGCGCGGTCTGCCTCTGCCCCTCTTCGCCTTGATGGCTGCACCTGCTGCTGCTGCTTCCTTCCCTGCTGCTCCCGCTGATGATTCTTTTGCTGCTGTTGCTGTTGCTGTTTGCTCTGCTTCTGCTTCTTTCTCTGCTGTTCCAGCCGCTGTTGCTTCTTGTTCTTCTTCTGCTGCTGCTGCTGCTGCTGCTGTTGCTCCAGCTGCTGCTGCTTCCGCTGCTGCGGCTGTTGCTGCTCGTGCCGCTGCTGCTGTGGTGGGTTTCAGTGCACTAGCCGCAACGGCACAAATAGCAGGTGGAAGAGCAGGAGACGGAACGGAGGCAGGTGGAGGCAGAGAGATGGGCAGGGCCGGCGAGGCAGGTGAAGGAAGGGAGATCGGTTCAGAAGGTGGTGCGATGGGTTGAGAAGGGGTTGAGAGTGGTTGAGAAGGGGGTGAGAGGGGTTGCGGCGGGGGATGTTGAGGCAGCAGCATGCCGGCCACGATGGAGAAGAGCCGTCGGCGCAGAGAGGATGCTTCACACGCCTCGAACCAGTCGTTGCTCAGCTGGTGGCGGGAGGGGAGGGGAAAAAGGGGGTACGGGGGAAGGAAGGATGCATGCCAGCTGGACTCAGAGAGGCTGAAGGGATGGTTTGTAACGGTATAAGACGGTCTGCGACGGTATAAGACGGTCTGCGACGGTATAAGACGGTCTGTGATGGTATAAGACAGTCTGTGACGGTATAAGACAGTCTGTGACGGTTTAAGACGGTCTGTGACGGTACAGATGGTCTGTGACGTTTTAAGAGGGTAGTGACAGTACAAGACGGTTTGTGACGGTATAAGACGGTCTGTGACGGTTTAAGACGGTCTGTGACGGTTTAAGACGGTTTGTGACGGTTTCAGAGGGTTTGTGACGGTTGGAGATGGCCCACCTTATCTGCGACGCCATCAGCAGAGCGTGGGAGAGCAGCAGCCATCTGAGCAAACTTCTGAATGTAGCAGAGGATGAAACAACCGCAGTCATAGTCGTTGTCCTGTGCTGGCACCTGGACAGAGAAATAAGGAGCAGAGAAGAGAGAAGGGAGGAGGCCGAGGGAAGCACGGTGAGAGGAGTCAACTCAGTTGCAGTCATAGTCGTTGTCCTGCACTGGTACCTGAGCAGAGAGAAATTGGGTGCAGAGCAGAGAGAAGGGAGCAAGGCGAGGCAAGCAGCGCAAGGGAGTGAGTGTGGTGTGGGAGATGGATGGTTCAGTGAGGGCGACCCAGCAATGTGTAAAGAGTGAAATTTTGAAACTTCTAAAACAATCACTCTCTACACGAGGGAGTGAGTGTGGTGTGGGAGATGGATGGGTTCAGTGAGGTGAGGGCGACCCTGCAATCGAGTTTTCAGTGACGTCTCAAAACCCTGCAATCCATGAGGAGAGCAGTAGACGCATGCACCTGCTGCTGCAAGCACATAGCTGCGTGCACACATGGCTGTGCTTCAGGAGATTCCCAGAAGCAACGAGTGAAGCAGGAGCGACCCACCTTGACTTTCTTCCCGCGCACTTTGCTGAACGGCCCAGATTGCAGCGGCTTCTTGGGATCCAACGGCTCCTTGCTCCTCTTCATCCACTCAGCCTGCAGGTAACTGGGGGGGGGGGACGGGGAATGAAAGAGATGCAGGGGAAAGGAGAGATGGTACATGAAGAAGCCAACAGAACAGATGTACGTACCATCTCCTCGCCTCACTCAGAACAGATGTACCATCACTTCCTTCGTGTACACAAGGATCGAATTGAATAAAACAGAAGAAAAAACGATCTCGCCCTCATGTATCTGGTGAAGGCATGCACAGATGGGAAGGCAGATGGAAAGGCAGACCAGGAGCAAGAGCACAGAAGATAGTATATACCTATACATACATATATATTTCTTATGTATATATATATGTATGTATATATATGTGTATATATATACATACATATAGATATACATATATATTTTAATTCGTGTATATGAAACTCACAACTTGATTGCGCTGTAGATGGCAGGCGACTTGGAGCTTTCTGGAAGCGAGTCAAGGTACAGAATGGTGGCCTCCCGCGTTCCGTTTGGCCCCGTCACCAGCTCCAACCCCCCTTCACGTGACCCCCCCTCCTCATCTTCCTCCTCCTCTTCCTCCTCCTCTATACTCCACTTCATCTGCCCTCCCCTTGTGCCCCTCTGTTGCTTTCCCTTCCCTTTGCCCCGCACCTGAACCCCCCTCCTTCCTCCGCGTCTCGTTGCGCTGCCGTTCCCCCCGCCCGCCCCCTGCCGCGTGCGCTGCCCCTGCCTCCCCGAAATGTTTTGAAACCTATTTCCTTCACATCATCATCACCATCAGCATCAACAGCATCACCATCATCATCACCAGCAGCACCAGAATTATCCAATCCAGGAATCCAGCTCTTGATTTCCCTCACTTGCCCACCACCTGAACCATCCTCTTCAGCCTCCTTCTCCAGATTTTCCTCCTCGCCTTCCTCCCCCACTTCCTCCCCCCCCTCCTCCTGGATATCTTCTATCTCTTCCCCTCCATCCCTCTCTCCATCCTCTTCTCCCTCCTCTGATTCTTCCTCTCCCTCCTCCCCTACCTCTTCCTCCTCTTCCTCCTCTCCCTCCTCTCCCTCCTCTCCTTCCTCTCCTTCCTCTCCCTCCTCCCCCTCCTCTTCTCCTTCCTCTCCCTCCTCTCCCTCCTCCTCCCCTTCCTCTCCCTCCTCTCCCTCCTCCTCTCCTTCCTCTCCCTCCTCTCCCTCCTCTCCCTCCTCCCCCTCCTTCCCCTCTTCCTCTCCCTCCAATATCTCATCTTCTCCCTCCTCTCCTTCCTCTTTCCCTGGACTCACATAAACCACTACTCCAGCTTCCTCTCTCTCATCCTCTGCCCTTTTCCCCTCACACGTCCCCTCATCTCCCTCCCCATACCCCATATAAGCACCCCAAGGCCCTCACTAATATCAGATACCGCCTCCCCCAGTTCAACCTGCCCCTCCTCGCCTTCTCTCTCTTTCCCAGACCTTCCATCTTGTTCCCCTTCCTTATTCCCTCCTTCCTCAATCCCCCTCGCTTCTTGCCCACCCTTCCCATCTTTCCCATCCCCCATCTCCTCTTCCCTTATCTCCCCAGGACCACTCCCATTCGCACCACTCCCCACCTCTCTACACACCTCTGGGCTGGACTCAAACACCACCGACTTTCCGCCCTCACTGCCGTGCCCCACTTCACACTTCTCCCAAAGAACCACAGCAATAGAAAGCAGCACCAACGCCCTCACGAGTCATTTCGCGACTGCCCTCACGAGTCCCCTCCTTAGTGCCCTCATGAAGCGATCTCAACAATGTGTGCACGTGCACCTGCCTTGCTCACAGCCTGAGGGCCATTCCGTGCTGCTCCCATCAGCAGCTGCATAGCAGACATGCCGTTTCCAGCTGCACCTGTACCTGCTGCAGTTGTAACAGCTGTAGCACAGGAGGTTGTAGCAGCTGCGACTGAAAAAGGCACAGCTATAATAGGGACAGTTGTAGCAGGTGCGACTGTAGCAGGTGCGACTGTAGCTGGAGCGACTGTAGCAGGTGCAGCTGTAGCAGGTGCAGCTGTAGCAGGTGCAGCTGTAGCAGGTGCAGCTGTAGCAGGTGCAGCTGTAGCAGGAGCAGGAGCAGTAGCAGCAGGTGAAGCTATAGCTGGAGTAGCTGTGGCAGGCGAGACTGCAGCAGCAGTTGTAGCAGACAGAGCTTGTTCCAATGGAGACAGCATTGTTGCTACAACAGCGATTGGAGGTACAGCAGCAGCATCTGCTACAGCCGTCCCTTCATGATTGACCAACATTCTAGCCAAGACTTGCCCCTCTTCGACCCCACTCTCCTCTCTCCTCTCCTCTTTGCTCTCCTCTCTCCTCTCCATTTTGCTCTCCTCTCTCCTCTCCTCTTTGTTCTCCTCTTGCTCTCCTCTTTCCTCTCCTCTTTGCTCTCCTCTTTCCTCTCCTCTTTGCTCTCCTCTTTGCTCTCCTCTTTCCTCTCCTCTTTGCTCTCTTCTTTGCTCTCTTTTTTCCTCCACCCTTTCACCTCTTCCATCTCCTCTTCCCTCTCTGCTTCCCTTTCTTCTTTCCTTTCCTCTTTAATTTCTTCTTTCCTCTCCTCTTTCATCTCTTCTTTCTTCTCCTCTTTCCTCTCATTCGTCTCCTCTTTCCTCTCCTCTTTCCTCTCCTCTTTCCTCTCCTCTTTCCTCTCCTCTTTCCTCTCCTCTTTCCTCTCCTCTTTCCTCTCCTCTTCCTCTCCTCTTTCCTCTCCTCTTTCCTCTCGTCTTCCCTCTCCTCTTTCACCTCCTCTTCCTTCTCTTCTTCCCTGTCCCCTTTCCCCTCTTCTGTCATCTCCCCTTTCCTCTCCCCTTTCCTTCTTCCCTTTCCTCTCCTCTTTCCTCTCCTCTTTGCTCTCCTCTTTCCTCTCCTCTTTGCTCTCCTCTTTGCTCTCCTCTTTCCTCTCCTCTTTGCTCTCTTCTTTGCTCTCTTTTTTCCTCCACCCTTTCACCTCTTTCATCTCCCTCTTCCCTCTCTGCTTCCCTTTCCTCTTTCCTTCCTCTTTAATTTCTTCTTTGCTCTCCTCTTTCATCTCTTCTTTCTTCTCCTCTTTCCTCTCTTTCGTCTCCTCTTTCCTCTCCTCTTTCCTCTCCTCTTTCCTCTCCTCTTTCCGTTCCTCTTTCCTCTCCTCTTTCCTCTCCTCTTTCCTCTCGTCTTCCCTCTCCTCTTTCACCTCCTCTTCCTTCTCTTCTTCCCTGTCCCCTTTCCTCTCCCCTTTCCTCTCCCCTTTCCTCTCCCCTTTCCTCTCCCCTTTCCTCTCCCCTTTCCTCTCCCCTTTCCTCTCCCCTTTCCTCTCCCCTTTCCTCTCCCCTTTCCTCTCCCCTTTCCTCTCCCCTTTCCTCTCCCCTTTCCTCTCCTCTTTCTCTTCCTCTTTCTCCCACACTTTCTCTTTCTCTCCACCTTCCACTTTTCTCTCCTCTTCCATCTCCTCTTTCCTCTCCTCTTTTCTCTCCTCAACCCTCACCAATTTCATCACCTCATTCTCTTCCTCCTTAACCCCCACATTTTCTTCCTCTCCACCTTCCTCATTCCCTTCCATCTTCTCGGATTCCTCCTCCTCTTTTCCATATTTCACCTCACTCCCTTCCTCTAGCCCCTCCTCTCTCCCCTCCTCTCGTCCCTCCTCTCTCCTCTTCTCTCTCCCCTCCTCTCTCGCCTCTCCCCCCCCTTCCTCTCTCCGCTCCTCTCTCGCCCCTCCTCCCCCTTCCTCTCCCCCCTCCTTTCCCCCCTCCAATTCCTCCTTCTCTCCTTCCTCCTCCTCATCCCCCAACACTCCCACTTCCCCTTTCCCCTCTCCTCTCCCCTCCTCTACAACCACAACTCCCTGGACTTGATCTTCCCATCGCCACTCCTTACCTCTCCTTCAACCATCCCAACCTCCTCCCCCCCACTCACCCCTCCCTCCCCTTCTACCCCTTTCTTCCAATCATCCCTTGTAATCATTTCCCCTCGTTCCCCCCTTCGCCCCCCTTCTTTGCTGTCCGCCCCTCCAATAGTTTCCTCTTTAGAAACTGCAGCCTTTGTCCACTCCGGTACCTTCTCCCTCCTCTCCTACAGCTTCCTCCGTTCCTGCACCTCCTTCCTCTCCTAGACTTCCCTTCTCTCCAGCAACCCCCTCCTCTCTCGCTTCATCTTTAAACCCCTCTCCCTCCCCACCACCCTCCCCTCCTACCACTCCCCTCTCCTCCCCGGCTTTGCCTCCTTCCACTTGCCTATCCAAACTCTTTCTTGCCTCTTTCTCGCCACCACCAAGCCTCCACACTCCCCTCACATCGTCCCGCTCAAGCCTCATGCCTTCCTTTACCATCCCCCCACCCTCACTTCTAATTCCCACCCCCACATGCTCCTGCAACCCTCCCTCCTTCCCTCCCTCCTTCCCTCCCTCCTTCCCTCCCTCCTTCCCTCCCTCCTTCCCTCCCTCCTTCCCTCCCTTCTTCCCTCCCTCCTTTCTTCCCTCCTTCCCTTCCTCCTTCTCTCCCTCTTTCCGTCCCTCCTCCGCTTCCTCCCTTTCCTCATTACCTTCCTCCTTCACTCCCCCCTCCTTCGCACACCCTTCTCCAACCACACTAACCACCCCTGCACACCTCCCTTCCACATCCCCCATTTCCCCTCCTCCACCCTCTCCTCCACCCTCTCCTCCACTCTCTCCTCCACCCCCTCCTCCACCCCCTCCTCCACTCTCTCCTCCGCCCTCGTCGACCCGCCACACTATCACCAGCCCCTCCACGCCTTTCCACTCCTCTGCTCCCACCAACGTCTATCACCCCCTTTGCACCACCACCAATCCCCTCCTTCTCCTCCTTCTCCTCCTCCTCCTCCTTCTCCCCCTCCTCCTCCTTCTCCCACTCCTCCTCCTCCTCCTCCTCCTCCTCCTCTCTCCTCCTTCTCCCCCTCCTCCTCCTTCTCCCCCTCCTCCTTCTCCTTCTCCCCCTCCTCCTCCTTCCCCCCCTCCTCCTTCTCCCCCTCCTCCTTCTCCTTCTCCCCCTCCTCCTCCTTCTCCCCCTCCTCCTTCTCCTTCTCCCCTCATCCTCCCTTGGCGCTCCTCCTCTCGCCTTACCCCTCGCCCTGCTGCGTGTTTGCAGCTGCTTCCTCACACCCCACACCATACCATCACCTATACCACCCACACCACCCACACCACACCCACACCACCCCACACCACCCACACCACCCACACCACCCACGCCACCCATGCCGCCCAAGCCCCACTGCGCTATCCCCGGACCCATCACGCATCGCACCATCCCTATCAACCGCATCCAACCGCCTGCGTTTCACAAACGACCTGCCACCACGCACCTTGTGACTGGGAAGATCACCTGCCCTGCACACTCAACACCCTCATCACCGGAACCATTCACACCTGGTTCCACATCCTGGCTCAACACCCTCTCACGGTGACGAGTTTTGAGACGTCTCAAAAGAATCACCGCCCTGCACACTCAACACCCTCTCACCAGGAATATTAACATCCTGGTTCAACACCCTCACACGGTGAGGACTATTACCAGCAAACTGCTTGGTACCCCTGGTATGACTCTCTCTTGACTTCCCCTGTCAGAATCACCAGGATGGTGGTTGACCAACTGGCTCACACTCGCAACTCTCGCACTTTTCCCTCCCTCCCCTCGCCTCTCCTTCCCAGACCCCTCCTCCTCCCCAAACCCCCTCCCTTCCACCTTCGCCCTTCCCTTCATCCTCCTCCTCCTCCTCCTCCTCCTCCTCCTCCTCCTCCTCCTCCTCCTCCTCCTCCTCCTCCTCCTCCTCCTCCTCTCCTCCCTCCTCCTCCTCTCCTCCCTCCACCGACACTGCAACTTCTGCCACGTCAGCCAAGCCTCCTCACTCTGCCAGCAGTGCTGTCTCTCCCCTTCCCATCGCCCTTATTGCCACCCTCCCTGACCCTCCTCTGCCACGTGCAGCACCTCTCTCACTAGCCGCACTCCTTCTCCCACCTTCCAATATGCTCTCCTTCCCTGCTTTGCCCAAGCCACCCTCTTCCTTGCATACTCACCCCCCTTCCTTTCATGTCCGCCCTGCTTCTCTTCAGATTCGCCCTCCTTCCTTTAGGAATCTTCTGGAAAGCGCCCACCTTCCCCCTCCCCCTCCCCACACTTCCCATTACCCCCGATGCCCCTTTGCCCCTCTCCCCCCCTCTTCCCCCCATTGCCCTCCCCTTCCTATTGCCCCCCGTGCCCTCTTCCCTTAGCCTAGCCGCTCCTCGCGTTTCTCTGCTGTTTTCCTCCTGAACCGCCTGGCTCTTTGCCGTTATCTCCTGAGCCCTTGTTGTTTTCACCTGGCCCCTTGCTGCTTTCTCCTGGAGGCCTTTCGTGTGGTCTTCCTCACATCCTTGCTGAGAAAGCATATGATAGCCAGGCTCCAATGGCTGCGAAACCTGAGGGATTGAAAGGTTATTGGGGATCAAGTGGGGAGCGGGCGTGCGTAAGGGCATGCGGGGTAGAGAGGTGCGCCTTCCTCACGTCCTTGCCGACAACGACAAGAGAGGGGAAGGGATGGGCTAAGGCAGGCAGAGACGGGCAGACGCGGGCAGAGAGGCCAAGATGGCCGAGAGCAACAGGGGGGCGTACTCTTCGTGGAAGGGGATGACGATGAAATCCTTTGAGAATATGTCCGTGCCCCTCGTCCACCTTGTCAGGCGCATCAGCTCGTGCGGGTCCTGAGTCAGCTTCTGGCGAGGGTAAAGTGGGGAGAGGGGAGGGGTGGGATGGGGAGAGCACGGGGGGGGGGGGGGGGGGAGGAGGGGGGGGGGGCGGGGGGGGTTGGTTGAAGGGCGGGCGGAAGGGCACCTTGCCAGGCGCATCAGCTCGTGTGGGTCCTGAGTCAGCTTCTGGCGGGGGGTAAAGTGGGGAGAGGGGAGGGGTGGGGGGAAGGTTGGCGAGCGGGGAAATGGTGCAAATCGTGCGGCTCCTTAGTCAGCTTCTGGCGTAAGGGGGAAGGGAGAGGGATGGGGGCGTGGGGAACTCCACAGCACAACACAGCACCGCACTGCACTGCACCACACCACACTGCAAGCAACGGCACGGCATGGCAGGGACAGGAGAGAACAGCACAAAACAGCACAGCAACCCATAGCACCGAGAGAAGCCACACAGCAGGAGGGGCACTCACGAATCGCTCTTGGGCGCTGAAAAGCGAGGTGGAGAAGAAAGTGCTGAAGAGATTAAAAAAAACTGAGACCACTGTGGCTGGCTCCGCTGGAGCACAGCACCGCACAGCAGAGTAGAGCACAGCACTGCCCAAACAGCACAGCAGAGGGACACTCACGACGAATCGCTCCTGGGCATGGAAAAGCGAGGTGGAGAAGAAGGTGCTGAAGAAGTGGAGTCGCGACCGATGCGGCTCCCCTGGAGCACTGCACCGCACAACACACCACCAGACTGCACAACACACCACCAGACTGCACAACACACCACCAGACCGCACAACACACCACCAGACCGCACAACACACCACCAGACCGCACAACACACCACCAGACCGCACAAACACACCACCACACCGCACAACACACCACCAGACCGCACAACACACCACCAGACCGCACAACACACACACCCAGACCGCACCGCACAACCACACACAGACCGCACAACACACCACCAGACCGCACAACACACCACCAGACCGCACCAAACACACCACCAGACCAAAACACACCACCAGACCGCACAACACACCACCAGACCGCACAAACACACCACCAGACTGCACAACACACCACCAGACTGCACAACACACCACCAGACTGCACAACACACCACCAGACTGCACAACACACCACCAGACTGCACAACACACCACCAGACTGCACAACACACCACCAGACCGCACAACACACCACCAGACTGCACAACACACCACCAGACTGCACAACACACCACCAGACTGCACAACACACCACCAGACTGCACAACACACCACCAGACTGCACAACACACCACTTACAAATCGCTCCTGGGCGCGGGAGAGCGAGGTGGAGAAAAAAGTGCTGAAGAAATGGAACCGCGACCGCTGTGGCTCCTGCAGCATCGTCTGTTCAATGAACCTGGACAAGGGCACATGGCGACGTGCAATAACTGGATCTCAACAAACGTTCAAGAGCCTAATGATTTTGACAGGTGTACGTGGGACAGGTGTGACTGATTTTGAACATTGCTGTAACCAGTTTTCTCCATGGGCTCGCGAAAGAACTCCCGTGCACACCATATTTGAGACTGAGACGTGC